CCCTCCTTCTGCATACGAACGACGGACCACGAATCTTCACCAATGTTTACTTTTATTATAAATTTATAAAGTCTATGATCAAAGGACGAAAATCTCTTAAATTTATGATCCCCAAATGTTGAAAATGTTAAAATGTTGGTAGTGGTCTGATCTCGGTCGAATTTTGCGCGACTGTATTTCTTCCGCTGTCGTTTTAGGAAATAAAATGTGTTACGTTCAGTAACTATGTAGGAAACGTCTAAAATAAATTACCCAGGCTGGTCCTGACCTAAATTGTCTTGCAGTGCGAATTGGTGTTAAAATTTGAACGCCATTCCCGAGATGCGTGTAGCAAAGAGCAAAGCCGGCAACCTCAACTGACACTCACTTTGCTTTCCAAACATATTTCAAGTTATACGGTTCTATGCTCTTCCGTAAACGTTCAAACGCAGATTTTGAAGTTCTCGCGTGAATATTGAGAGGAATAAACTCGTCCACGTAAATAGAGTCAACTAGTGTTTCAAGTTATTACCGCAGCCTTGAACGGCGCATGAGAGAGACAGAGACAGCACCCTGCCCTATGCGCTCAGATTGAGGTGTGGCCTGTATCGGCAGCCATTGTGTTCGGTGGGTTCGGTGACGAGTGTGTGTAATCAGAGGTAAATACTTGAAACATCGTCGTTCTTTCACCCTTCGGTGCCAATTTGTGATCGAAGAACTGTTGAGGTGTGATTTGTGGTATTAAGCTTAAGGTTTACTTGGAGAATTACTCGTAAAAGTGCTCGTAAGCCGGGAAAATCATGCGCCTCCGAACTTCCGGTTGCCAGATCAGGCTTATAGGGTACTGTTTACCTATTTTGGTTTGTACTGTGTTGAAAGGAAGGTGAAGCCCAGGTTTGGAAACCATTGTGAACCTAGTATTTGTCCACAAAGTCCTCCTCTTGGTTCACGAGCACTATTTCTTGCTGGTCTGGTGCTGGTTGACTAGGCTTGAAACCTGCTAGTAGCCTACCTAGGCTGTGGTATTCGTTTGGTTTATGTCGTGTCAGTTACACCTTTTCCCCCTGTGTTGGTTCGCATAACTCTCTTTTTAGTTAAACGGGGAAGCCTGACCAGAATGATAGTCTTCTGCTGGTTTTTATTGTTTCTAGCATCTTAGTAACTTGTTAAGGTTTGGTTAGGCTCTTTGGAATTGTTGGATATTCTTTTTTGGAATCTTGCTTTAGATTATGATTTTGCAGACATTCAGAACAATTCTTTGCTATGATACGGTTATGAAAGTTTTATCGTTCACTATCACCCTTTATTAACACCTGGATTGTGGTTTGTTGTACAACCGAAGTAAACTTTAAAGTTTGTTCGGCTTGTTAAAAAAAAATATCTCAAATTATTCTGCAAATTTTAACTGTGCATTGTTCTTCAGCATGAACTTGTTGTGCACAACAGTCTGTTTCTAGTAACTTAGTTGATAGAAGAAGTTAGATACTTGCAAACTGGCTCCATTTCATTTCACTTGACATTAACTTCTATTGTTTGTCATGCACCTAGATTAAGGAACCTCTGGCATATTTATTTATGGAAAAGTTAACTCAGCTTTATATAGTTGTATGTTGTAAAATTCTCAATCTGCCATCACTCCTTGCTTTCAAGAACCTTTCAAAATCTCCCCTCTTTCATTAATGCATAGCAATAGTTGCATTCATTGTATAATTTAGAAGATATATTGTATGGATTTATTATGGTTTAGTTTAGATACCCAGCACTTCCCAAGAATGTGGATGAGATGAAATAATCTCTTATCCCAGTCTGTTTTGTGTAGAATAAAGTTCACAGCTTTTTCCTGAGTCATATTGTTTATTGGATTCTCTTGTAAACATCCATAATTTTCAAAAACTGTAATAAGGGTAATACATTCTAGGACCTGCTCAGATGCTTTGAATTGACTGAAAAGTGCCAGAAATTTTATATTTCTCAATGGACCATCTTGCCCGCCTTTTTGGGAATTGTGCCTCTGGAAATGCTTCTACTTCAGGTAAGACAGGTTCTCATGTTCTATCATTACACAGCTACCTGTCCTTTATTTGCTTCTCCAATTTGTGTCAGAAGCTGGGTTTTGGAATTGTTCTGAATTGTGTAGTCCCTAGTGCACCTCACTGAGCATGCATCGAATGGGGTGTCACAGCATCACGCCTGTTTTTAAATATGTTATTTGATTGCTGGAGCATAAAGATCTAGATTCATATAATCCTGACAGTCAAAAGAAGTACTAATTAAAAATTGAAGATTTTGCCCTCACTGTACTTAACTTGCATTTCTTTGATACAATTTTGCACTAAAGTCCTCCCAACTGTTGGATATAATTTATGATTTCAATATCTTAAGCTGCTGAATGACATTTCTAAGTAAATGAAGTGCTTGTTTGCTGAAGAATCAATTCAAACAGGACTTCAGTGCAAGGTCTTCTTTCCAAACCAGTTTTCTTCAATCCTAAGTTGATTTCTAGAAAAATGCTTTAGATCGACAGCTAACTTTTGCACTTGTAATGTTCAGCATTATTGAAATGTAGCAACTTTTGCACTGCCTGTAAACCAAAATATTTGGAATCCTTATGTATCTTATCAGTTTAAGCTGTGTCTTTATCCAGTATTTAAATGTTGCTTTGCATTATTAAAAACTGGAATGTGATATTAACCTACCTGCAATTATGAAATTTGACTTCATCAGCCTTCAAAATTTGTTCTTTTTCTTACCATCATGTTTCCTGTCTGTTCTTAAAAAAGATGTGAATATGTGGGTTTGAAGGCATATTATGTGAACTTTCTTAAGTTTCTTTCTCTTTGTATTGCTATTAATGTATCTGGAGTCTGAGTACCTTGTAGTATAGTAAAATAGTCTGAGGTATGCACGCTAATATTAAAAATGTATGGCTAAGACATTTGCAGGTCTAAAATGTGTGTTGTAGTGAAAAATTGAGTGTGTATAGTCTTTGTTGAATGATTCATACTACAGTATCTGTGATTTTTCAAGTTAACTTTTTGGTAAATTTTCTCCATGTGTTGTAGGCTTTTCATTACAAAGCTTGTGCACCCCTACTTTAAGAAGGCAGCCACATCATGATGTCACCTTTTACGATCGATACCACTTTGTCATTGCACTGCTTTATTTAATGTCTGAGCATTGTTTAACTAAATGAGAGACAATCTATAAATTATTGTTTCTAGTTTAAGATCTATAAACTCTAGGCTAAGTATTTGACAACTTCCTTTGCTCTACCTCTTTCATTAACAATGTAAAAGATGGGAGAATTGTGTGGTGGAAGGTTTTGAATTATTTTTTCCAGATGATGTTGGCACTGGTAGAAATGTTTTGAATTCTCTAGATTTTACGGTTGATTAGGAGAAGTGTGAAAACATACCTATTCATTGTAGCATGTTACCATGCTATCCACTGCATGTACCATTCTTTCTAATTAATCAAGAATGGAAGGGCACCATTGTGTTATATTTTGTCACAATTTCTATCACTTGAAATGCTTAGTTAGGTCTAATGAGGTATTTTATTGGTATAAAGAAGATCAGGAAGAACAAGCAAGAACATAACAAGCCTTCAACTGTTTTTCGGAAATCGACTGCTTTGCAATTGTTTTAGCAGACGATTTTCGAAAAACAATTGAAGACTTGTTATGTTCTGGCTTGTTCTTCCTGATCTTCTTTATACCAATAAAATACCTCATTGATAAACCAAGCCAAAGGTAGAAATTAAGGTCTTGAAATGACTGGGGAAGTCAAGCATTTTTCTTCCTCAGTGACCCAAATATAGTAAAACCTCGCTAGTACGAACGCGAACGTAACGTAATCGCGCTTATAACTCATTACTCTCACAACACTCTGAAATGCTATTAGCATAACGAGACTATTCATTTTTATTTCCATCTTATACTACTTTTTGGCCGGGGGTCGAACGGCAGACGGTGGCTTGCAACTGTAACTTGATGGATGATGTAAAGATACTATGGGCCAAAGAGGCTCCCGTCAAGCTTATTATCCTCTAAAGTGTAAATTTTCTTAATATTGCGTTACAACAATGTTGTAGTACTATTGTCCTGCACTTTTATGCTTACCAATGTGCTCTAACGAGGTTTCACTTCCCAGATAACACTTTTTATTTTATGAAATGACATAGTGACTCTTTTCTGTTTCAGAATTCATGGCCGCCATTAGAAAGAAATTGGTTATAGTAGGTGATGGTGCCTGTGGTAAGACATGCCTTCTTATAGTATTCAGCAAGGACCAATTTCCTGAAGTCTACGTCCCGACTGTATTTGAGAACTATGTTGCTGATATTGAAGTTGATGGAAAGCAGGTAAGGATAGCCTCTGCAGGCTCACTTCCAGAGGTGCCATGCGGTCCCAAGCGGTTTCAAGTTAGGTATGTAGAGAACATACTGCATCTCATTTAAAAACCATGCGGGGCTGCTGAGGCTTCAGAATGCTGTGTTCTTGTGGTTTGAATGTCCGCTTTTTGGACCGTATAGCACCTCTGCACACTTCATACCAATTCATTGTGTTGAGAGATAGTATGCGATTATTTATAACAAAATTCTGTTTGCAGGTGGAGCTGGCATTGTGGGACACAGCAGGTCAAGAGGACTATGATAGACTGCGCCCACTCTCATACCCAGATACAGATGTCATTCTCATGTGTTTCTCCATTGACTCGCCAGATTCATTAGAGAACATTCCTGAGAAATGGACACCCGAAGTGAAACACTTTTGCCCTAATGTGCCCATAATCCTTGTTGGCAACAAAAAGGTATGATTTTGTCTGCAAGGAATTGATGTACTAATTGTTAAATTTATCTGACAGATGACTAATAAATCTGTTATTCCTTCCTAGGACTTGAGGAATGATCCAAACACAATAAAAGAGCTAGGGAAAATGAAGCAAGAGCCTGTTAAACCTGAAGAGGGCCGTAACATGGCAGAAAAGATCAATGCATTTGCTTACCTTGAGTGCTCTGCAAAGAGCAAGGAAGGTGTTCGTGAAGTTTTTGAGACTGCTACTAGGGCCGCACTTCAGGTTTGTAGTACATTTGTCTCAAGAAATTGAACTTGCTGGTTTCTTGTAAATGGAATTCATGTTTTATTTTTGCTTCCAGGTTAAGAAGAAGAAGAAGGGGCGGTGTAGGTTGTTGTAAAGCACCTTTTTTTTTTTTTTTGAAACACGTAAAAATGAAGGAAAAAAAAAATGGGTAGGCCATGCAATTGCCACTAGGCTGCTGAAGTGTCCGCTGAGGAGTTAGCTCTTGCTGAGCACATCCACTATGCGGTGGTCTAAGGCAGTTTCTGTATGGTGTTAAGCAGTTGCAGCCAAACATATAAACATCATGAATTCTTTTGATTTGTATATTATTATGATTATTATTGATTTTATCTAAAGCTCCAAGAATCAATTTGAAGCTTCATCTATAGTTTAGTCAATGATTCATCCGGAAAATACAAGGATATTTGTCAAATATCCCATAGCAATTTTGTCTGTATTGAATGGAATGTGTTAGGTTAGACAGAGTTTTTAAAACAAAATTGTTAACTTTTAGCAGCCCCATGTTTGTTTAGCTGCTGTGATGGACTGCAATTTGTCTGGTAGGTGCTGTATATCTGAAATTTTATTTTTGCCTTGTTTGTCGAAAGAGCTTACTCCGCAGTTAACAATATGAACGATCACCATATGGAAAAAAATGGTTTTACATTTGTTTGTACTCTAATTGTAATTAAAACATAAATATTTATATTTATAGTTTATCATTTTCCTTTGAATTGGAAGTAGTCCTGTCTCTACCGCCTGTATCTTAGTACTCTGCAACCTTTTTTTTAAAAAAAATCTTACTTCTAATTTCATGTTGACTGACCTCTCTAGAGCTCCTCATGAGATCTTTCCTTATTCCTCCCAACATTCTCTCCATTGTGGTTAACTTTGGTAGACACATCCTACATCCTATTAGCTTGTCATAGGACCACTATCTGGCCCTTACTGCTGTTCGAAAAATTGACTATGAAAGGGAAATTGATTTTGATAAAAAGAAATTACAGCAGGACATTTATGAATATGTTGCTTCAGAGCCCTAAGTTGTAGAATTGCTTGCCGATTTATTTTTGTATTTAAAATAATTGAGTCAAGTGTCTGTGTTCTGAATGTTTTTAATTTTTATACTGTATATATTCAGAAGTTTCCTTATTTTGTTATTGAACCTGATGAAAGGGCCAACTGGTGTGGCAACAAGTAATTTTGGTTTGTGCTAATCTGTCTCTGCTTTTAATTTGGATGTCAACTGCAAAGCACAATATATTCAGCTTGACTAAATGCCTTTTCATTTGGTAAAGAAATATTCAGGTACTATTTACATTACCTATTTCATATTACAACATGTGTAATTCACAGATGTTGATCACTGTACATAACTTGTCTTACCCCCAAGGTAAAAATTGTGGGTGTTTCTATTGGGGGTTCAACTCTTATTTATAACCTTCAATCAATTATGTCTTGTCATGTAACTTTTGTATTTATACATTTGATGACACTCCCTCAATTGTTCTTCAATCCATATAGTTTTTATTGTGTGGGAGTAGAAGAAAGTGCATTTTATGTTTTTTTTTTTTTTTTTTCCTGTGTGCTATTTGAAATGTCATGGTTTAGCCATGAAACATGCAGCTATTAGTGCATATTTGGTAGGATTTCATTGAGCAAAAAGGAGGAATTACATGTATAACATTGACTCTACATGATTTTTTGATAATTGGGTTTCTAATGCTCAAATCCGTACAGTGTCCTTAAAGTTATCCAAGTCAATAAGGAAATTAGACAAATTGTTAGGTTTTCTGTTTAGGGCAAAATTGATCATTAGTGTTTCCTGAAAATATTTTTGATGTTTTCTTTTTCTATTATAACTCGCATTGTGAACGAGTTATGAAGGGAAAGTCTGAATAACAGCTTTAACAAGTTGTAGCTTTGCTGCTGCAACAAAATTATTGACTCTGGCGAGAGTTGAAGTTATACATAGGGGTTAAGATAGTATGGGAGGGCTATTGTTTGTTACGTGCTGCTTGTTTCCTTCCTACTGTTGCATGACAGACTATTCTTGAGTATGTCTTGGAGCTTAAAGGATAACAAGGTAACATTTGAATGACTTTTTTACCAATCTTGTTTGGTGTGTTTCTTATGCATGAATGCCATTTGAGTGTGAAGTCAAATCGTTGTCTTTCAAGTGTACAGAATTTGTACCAAATGTTTCGAGGAATTCTTTGTCTTAGTAGGCAATATACTATTAATGAAAGTCTAAATTCTAAGGTCCAACTTTTTGCTGCTTTCTAAATACGCTCTACCCCTGTGTTCAATCAAATACCTAGAAACATCGAGTAATTTGCTGTGCTGCATTTTTGTGCCAAGGCAGGGAAACATCAGTGCTTTGATATTGAAGGTACAGCAACTTGTTGTTGGATTCTTCGAGGTTTTTCAAAATAAAGATGGAATAATTGACTTTTCTTTTGAATTTTTCTTTCGCCATGCTCTTACATGGAATATTCAAAGAATGTATGTGCAGTGAAAATGTACGATGCACTAAAAAAAATGTCACTAAGGTTTAGTCTAGCTCTAACTCCAACCAAGACACAACTGTAAAAATAGATATTTTATTCTAAAAAGCACATATCATCTTGACTCAGAAATCAGGTCTGATATCTACAATATCTACACAAAAGTAACAAAACAACGCTTCAACTTAAAATGATAAAAGAAAATTCATTATTTAAAAAAAGACAAAAAACCACCTTAATCACAAAAACCTACATTTTTAACACACGTAAATGTTAAAAGATATGTGTTTTTTCTAGTCCCCAAAATTTACATATTAAAAGCAGAGTTGAAAGTGTTCGGTAATATTTTTTAAAACTTCTCTAAAAGTAAAAGCCTTTGCAAAATCGAGACCCACATTTGCACTTCTTTGCTTTTTTTTTCACAGGTTGGAAATTGTCACTCTCATTGTCAGTTTTGTCTGTCACAGAACTACCTTTACCCCGTTGGTCTTGATCACCTGTGGATAAAAAAACAATACCAATAAAAGTTGACAGATTTTTGAAAAGCTACTTGACAGTAGCAGACCAATTACCTTGATAGTTAAAGGTAATTTCCTCCCCTTTCCTTATCAAACGTCTGGCAAAGAGGGCCAGTAGTGGAACAGCAGGATCATTTGTCTCAATCCATACCCCAGCAACATGTGCATTAGGATTACACTGAAAATTTCAGATTATTATTTTTTGGTGCATTAAAATGAATGAACAGTAAAGCAAACAAATCTGAGTAGTTCGTACAGAGTGATTGATGAAATGTGACTCATTCCCACACTTCATAGCGTCGATTGTAAACATTTGCCCTTCATCTGGATCCATCATGTCTAAATCAAACAGATACGACAATCCAGTTTTTTCTGCAAACAAATGAATAGGAAAACAATTAGTTACAGCATGGAATTCTAATTCCAATTCCCAAACATAGATACAGAATACAGAATAGAGACAAACCATAATTTTCATCACGCTTGGCAGCTTCTTCACTAGTGATAATTTCTCCTAAGTAAGTGGTCAAAAACTGCCCTCTTTCAATGCGTTCCCCAGCTTTCAGTCCCCAACCTCGACCATTGGAGGTGCGGAAGATGCATAACTTCACCTGAAAAGAGAATAAAATATGACAGAAAATTGTAGACATTCAACATATCACAAAAATCAAGCCAATTTATCAATCAGTCCCTCACTTTTCTTCCACATTGGACAACTCTATTAGGACATTCAGGTCCACATGAGCAAAACCTGTTACATTCAAATATTCCGCTGCGAGGAGAGACAATCAGACGACTCTTTGCTGAGTATGCCCAATCCACACCAGCCATATTAGGACAGCAGGTTTCCTTGGTCCCACACTCCTCTATACATTCACAACCAGCAACTTGTCCAAGAAGCATACAGCTATTTAAACCTGGCCCAGTCTGCAATGTCACATACAAATTGATTTTGTACATTGAAAGTTAAAACAAATGTACAATTAACTAAAAACTATCAAAATTACTCACTTTGTTCTGAGTAATGAACATAAAGTCACTGGGAGGGCCGTCAAGATCAACATTATTTTCAACACTCAAACCTCCAGGTCCTACACTGTTTAAACTATCCTCCCATTTCTGTAAGAATAGAAAAATCCAAAACTTATAAATAAAGATTTAAGTGAATTGATAAAATTCTCAGCAATTAAAAAGTTTTTAAAATTTTGTTAGAGAGAGTGAGACTACTGCTTGGAATGCATATTATTAGTTTAGAAAGTACCTTAAGGAGTTCCAGCTGTTCTTTGCGTACTTGTTTCATTCGTAACAGAGCACAGTGATCCCTGATGCTTTCAATAATCTGTTCTCTACGTTTGGAACATTTGTCATTAACTGCTGCATCTAACATTTTTGTCAGAGAGGATAAAGCCAAGCCTTTTTGTTTGAAACCACCACTTAATTTTTTGAGATACATTCCTTTAGGTGTATTCTTGATCCACTGATCAATAATGGAACGATAAGCGTTCAAAAGAAGTGTTTTACAACTAGGCACAGGTCTCCTACATAAAAGTACATGGGACATAGACAGATAAAAATTCATTTTTACAGAGAATAATCTTATTAATCATAAAGTCATTCAAGTAACAAACCATTTAACAAGCAAGATATCCAAAATCATTTTTCTCATGAAATTGTTCAGATTTTCATGACAGTTAAGATAACTCAATGGCTCCCAAGTATTAAATTGACTTCCCCAACCAACCCATTTAACAAAAAATTGGTCTTTTCCATCCTGCAAACGATTTGAAAAGCATTACTTGCAAATTGTAGTCTAGTTCAAATAGTTTAGTTTTCAGTGCAACTCACCTTGTCAAACCTGTGATCAACAATTTTTTGAACTTCATACTCTCCCTGTTCATCAGCTCCTTTCCACCTCTGGGCTCTTTTATGTGTATCATCAAAGTTTGAATAGTCTGAGCCATCTTCTGTCCCGAAACCACTGTCATCACTTTGTGTGTTGGGCAGCACTGGCATCCAATACTGCTGCAGATGTTTAAATTTTATAAAAGAAAAGAACAGATATGAGTGTACACTCTCTTTACATGCAACAGTGAATATTGAGGAAGATGCAAGGGGATGGTCTAACTCGCGGAACTCACAACATTACTCCATTTCTGACGCTTGAAAGAATTGTTTATACGTATATCTTTTCCTTCATAATTATATACACCAGACACCTAAAATAACAATGTAAAAAAGTGATAATTTGAATCAACAAATCTTTTAAGCAACATTCTTACATATGTATGTAGTTGCTTACGAACCTCTTTGATTGACTCTTCTGATGATTCTTCCTCTGCAAACAAAACGTCACAGACATCTTGAGGTAATCTAGAAAGCACCACCGTAGGATCTAGCATGAAACAGAAGAAGTAAGAGAAAATAATAATAGTGATGATGGAAATGTCTTGCGTAAGCTAGAAAATGGGGGGAAATGCACATCAAGATCAACTTACAAGACATACACACTTGTTCAATATTGGGGTCAGCCATTATTTAAACACAACTGCAATGACATAGACTTAATAATTTTTCTTATTTTAAAAACTAATATTTTTAATACAGGTGCGATATGTTGACCTCTATATTTGTGTTTGGAAAACAGGTCATAATAACCTTAAGATTGAGCTGTCACTGAAGAATATCAACAAGTATCCAAATCTTATTAGATGCACTTGGTTAAATGTCAAATGGTTTACGACATTTGTAATTAAAAGAAGTAAAACTCGATCTGGTTTTGGTATTTCAACAAAGAAAAGCGGCCTTTTAAATTCCAAATAAAAGTTGTTGTCATTTGTATGTACGCTTGATAAACACCGGCTTGCCTCCAAAATTTCAAATGGAGGGAACGGACGTTAGCAAAAGTGCGGGAGTGGCAGGAGTGGCAGTGACCAGAAATATGACCAGCGCAGTCAGAATAATGATTCACTAGAAACTCCTCGTTCACCGTTTAAGAAGGTTTTGGCTCTGTCCAGAGAATTGTAAAATCGAATGGTCTTCAAGACATTGCTAAGTATGTGCTTAATTGCGTCGTACATCGGCAACATTCGAGGTTTTTAAGGTTCATAGTTCGACAAGAACTCTGGACAAGTGGACTGATACGAGACTACGCTCGCCATCATCAACTACGCAACTCTTTTCATTTCAGAAAGAAGATGGAGGTGGAGTTGTATAATTCCATGATATGTAGACTTTGTGCAGCAGAAAATTCTAATGCAACCCTATTGTACTCTCCGGATGATAGTGGAGAGTGTTTGAGTTCTTTGGTTAACAAGTATTTGCCTTTACAGGTAGGAATTTTTTATTTTGTATCGTGTAGAATTTTACTTGATCCCTCCCATCTTCAAAATGGAGGCTTGACTGATTTCAGTTGCACCAGATCGTCTGCCGCACTGCTTTAATCAAGTTGTCTCGTATAAACAACAATAATATACAATTCTGTTGAAAAAAATACAATCCTTCACATGTATGTGCATTTAGCTTTCCTCCCTAAATTAGTAATCTGATGAATACTCATTATGCTAACCTGACCTTGTGGTTAAGGGATGTATAACAGAGACAACATCATGTCTGGTACCTGTCACTGACCGGCGAAAGTACTTCGTCAAATTTGTTTACATTCCCTATTTCACTTCTTCATCCCGATTCTACGCTTTACGCTACAACAATAATCCAAATTAAATATTTGATCATATTAATTTCTCGTTTAACATGCTATCTTTAAAATTTCCTGTTTGTTCTTTTACAATGATTTGCTGAGCACATCAGTAAATACATTCATTTTATAAATGGTGTTAACTTTGTTGATCACAGATCTGCGATGATGGCAAACTGCCTCGCACAATATGCCCACCGTGCAATCTACAATTGCATTCAACCAAAGCCTTCCTTGACCATGTTGTACTTGGTCAGCAAAAAATTCGAGATTTGTGGAAACAACAGGTGAGAAGATTTGCACATTATTTGATAATGAATCCAGTGAACTTCTGTCTTTTTATTACTTCAGGAAATAAACTCATGCTTGAAACACTTTGTTTAGGTCGAGCATCATAAACGGTTGGATAAAGAAAGACTGCGGATAACCCAGGGTCAAGAAATTATTATTCCTGAAACAATAACAACAGAAGATGGGACTGAAGCACAAATTCTTATTCACTGTAAGCCTTGTTGCAATAATTTTTAGTTTTGACATTTATTCATGGGTCAATAAATTCACCAAATTATTCTTGTAGTGCCAGATGGTACACTGTTCACAGCTGAACATGGCCTCTCATTAAAAATGGAAGGCTTAGAAAAGCCCAAACGGAAAAGGGGAAGACCACCAAAGCCTCGCCCAGACCCAGAGCAGACTGTTTCACCTACTGAGGCAACTACTAGTACTGATAAAGACATTGAGCAAACTCTGAATGAGTCTATGGAACAAGATGATGGCGATGAAGATGGTGATGATGAAGGAGAAGGAAGACGAAGAAGGAGAAAGAAAATCCCTCGCAGGTATTAGTTTATTTTGCACTTAACTTTGTTACAGTTCAAATTTTTTTTTAACTTTTATCGGATGGAGCAAGAGCTATATTAAGTCTTTTTTAAAGTACTTGTGCATAGTGCTTTTGTACTTTCTAATTATGGTTCAATATTTCTACTAGATTCATGGAAGCTGTTCAAGGAAAAGAGCTTGAAAGAATGTTTCGGGAGGAAGGTGTGATTGATGAGGATGATGATGATGCCGGCAAGCTTAATTCTGATATCTCATTGCCTACTCCATCCTCTAAAGACGGTAAGTTTACTTCCCATAGTGTACCTTGTTTTTTAAAAAATATATGCATGTAGCAGGAATTATTCTATCTTGTAACCAAATTCTTTTATAGAAGTGATAGGTCACTTAGAGACTCCAGATGGTGAAAATCTTGGAGAACTTGTGATTGTAAACCGCGGCCGAGGACGAGGAAGACCCCGTAATTCAAAGAAGCGAAAGATTAATTTTGAGTGTGAAGTATGTGGAAGAGGATTTCAGCACCGCAGTAGATATTTGTTACACAAGTCAGTGGAGTTTGAAGATACATCATTTTTAGACAATGCAAATGCTCACATAGCTCATATGTATACGTATTGCTTCACAGGAATTTCCACAAAGGAATGAAGTATGAATGTGGCACCTGCCAGAAACAGTTTAATAGTAAAGAAAACTTGGAATTACATCACAAAGCACTTGAGCACTCAGGGGAAGGTAAGTGGCATTAATATGTCATATTCATCCCAACATTTTGCAGCTACAGACTTGACTTAAATGAATTTAATTGTCAATTGATTTATGTATTCTTGTCTTTCTTTATTTAGTCATTATTGAAGTCCCTTCTGAAATCAAACCAGAGGAGGTACCCAATGAAAATAATTTGCATTGCGAGAAATGTGAAAAGGAATTTTCCTCTAAGGATGATTATGAGGTAAAACTGTAAATTTGACCTTTAATGTCGTAAGATGGATCACAACAATTTTCCTAATAATTTTTCTTGTTTTTAGCTTCACTTGCAGTCTGTTCATGGGGGTGAAAAACCTTTCAAGTGCCAGCTATGTCCCATGACCTTTCCATACCAGTCCAGTCTTAGGTACCACATCACATCACAACATGATGCTGCTAACTCAGAACAAGCTCCTGCCTCAAATACAATCACTGATCCTAAACCTGATGGCAAAGGTGGTTATGAGTGTGACATATGTGGGAAAGTTTTAAATCACCCAAGTTCTGTTTTGTACCACAAAGAAGCAGAACATAACGATGGGCGTCGTTTTGTCTGTAGCAAATGTGGGAAAGGATTCAAACACAAACAGCTACTTCAAAGACACCAGCTTGTTCACTCGGATGATAGGTCTGTGTAATTATTAAACTTTGTCCAACCACTAATCTTTTACTGCATTTATATGTATTAGATTTAAATGTTGTTTCTTCTTTTTTCCCTCTTTTACTTTATTTTTGTGGGATTTTTTTTCAAAATTTACAGGCCATTTGTGTGCAATGATTGTGGTAGTAGCTTTAAAACAAAAGCAAATTGGCTCAACCACCAGTCTACTCATACAGGAGAGAAGAAATTTTTCTGCGATCTTTGTGGGCACCAATTTGCTCATAAAACAAGCCTTACTTTACATTATAGATGGCATGAAGGTATAAACAAATTAGTTGCACAGTTCACTTTACTGTTGTTTTAGTATTGCTGATTTGTATTTTTTTTTCCCAGGACATAAGCCATATGAGTGTCATGTTTGTCACAAAAAGTTTTCCCAAAATGGTAACCTTCAGGAGCATCTTCGAATTCACTCTGGTGAGAAGCCTTTCTGTTGTGATTATTGTGGTCGAAAATTCACAACATCTTCCCAGGTTAGTCCCTTAAGGGTGTGCAACTTTGTAATTTTATGAAAAAATATTTTTAAATCAGTTTAAAAAATTTTTTACATGTTTTTCTGATATGGTTGTTTTTGTATTCATTTCCTTATCGTATGTATTAATTTGTCTTAAAAATAAATTTCTCGTGATCACAGTTCAAGCTTCATGTTAAGAGACACACCGGAGAAAGACCTTGGAAATGTGAGTTTTGTGGAAAGTCATTTCTTCATAAAGATACCTGGAAATGTCATACTAGAAGACACAAGGGTGAAAAGCCTTTCCGTTGTAATTTTTGTGCTCGTGGATTTACTGAACAATGGGCCTTGAAGAAGCACATGCGTCTACATACTGGTTGGTTTTGTTTTACTTTCAATTGTTTTTTCACTGACTTTCCCAGTTTGTAATTTGAATTTGGCATTAAATTTTTAAAAGGTGAAAAGCCGTATTCATGCAATGTGTGTGGGAAGGCTTTTGCTGATTGTTCAAACCTTACAAAACACAAAAAGGTAAGTCTATCTACAATTATTAAGGTTGGAAATAAGGTAATTCATTTACATTCTCTCTAACACCCTTCTTTTTTTTGTTCTTCTGTTATTGCTATCAAGGTCCATAGAGAAAATAAAGTGCCTCTTGGAAGTGCTGTGCCTATGGATCGAGCTGTATGGAATATTATCAGAACCCAAATGACTGATGACCTTAGTGCTACCGCTGGTGGAGATGATATGGTTGGTGTAGGTATTGTGCCTAATGCACAAGGTTTAACCAGCGTTAATGAAGATGGAGAAGCTGTCCAGCAAATCATTTATGTGTCCTACCAAGACCCAGACGATCCCTCTGAATCACACACTTTGCACATTGTGGATGACGTCGCTGCTGGAACAGCAGATGTATGTTTAAGTCTTATCTATTTTCAAAATTTGTTCAAAAATGTTTTTAAAAGAATTAGTTTCTTATAATGCGTGATTTCCAGGGTCTGAAACTTCTTTCAACTGGAGATGACACAACTCACTTTGGTGATCCAGTTGTTGGAGATGCTGATACAACCCTGGATCTAGGTCAATTAATTGCACCCCAGGGCCTGCCTGTGACAGATGAAGAAGGAAATCCCATTCATTTTACAATGCAGGATGGAAGCCAACTACAGGTGAGAGCATCTAACAGAAGATTGCTTTCAAGACAGAATTATTTTCATTTTTTAGGTATGCATGGATGTGATTTTTTTGGTGGGGCTGTAAATGGTAATTTTCTTGCCTTTTTCAGATAACTACACCTGATGGACAATCATTGATGGTAACTACTGAAGATGGAAGAGCTATTCCAGTTCAGTTGACCACTCCGGATGGGCATCCCATTTCAACCGGTTTCTCCACGGCTGATGTGTCATCACATTCACAGTTACAAGTTGCTTCAGACTTAGGTGGCAAGGCACTGGCATGTGTCGGGGACGGCTTAATAGTGGTGAGCTTGGATGAGTTTTTGTACTGTATTAACTATGCTTTATAGCAGTTGGATCACAATATCATATGACAAAATGCCTTTCAGCAAATCATTTGTAATAAACATAATTTCTTTTATCAGGAACATGCAGGAGTTGGAGCTGTTGATACTGACAATGATGTGGAACAGCACATAGAATTTACAACAGAAGATGGTAGAAAATTAAGATTTGTTGCATCTTCTGATGTCAACCAGCTTCAACTGGTAGATTTGATGTCCGCTCATATGCCTCAGGTAAGTAAGTTGTAGAAAATCATCCATTCCTTACTTTCAATTAGTTAAGCTTATTCTGTCCCTTCCTGATGTTACAGGTTCAGTGAATTAAATTCTATACAATATTTGAAGAGAATTATCATATAAAATGTAAAATTTTCTACATGCTGTATAATGTGTATTGTTATAAATATGAGCTTATTTTCTTTGTTGTAACAATGTTGTTGGATCATTAGATCATGGAATTATAAGGAAAATGCACATTGCATTGTGCATAATGTTGATCACTCCAGTGATAATTCATTAAATTGTGAAATGTTCTACTGGAAAGTGTTTCAGAATACTCTGATCTTTATTTTGAAAGAGAGTGTTTATAAATTCTATATTTGAAATCATAACTGCAAGAAGATTACCAAAGAACTTGCTGAATTATAATAATGTGATGCAATATATGATTAGCAGGGCAATAAAAATTCTTTACAATGAGATACTTCATTAACATTTAGGAATGCATGTCCTTTCCTGTTTTAGGCACTGTTCAGCCCATTCTAATTAAAAATATTGCTTTGCTGTAAAATAATCGTTTTTAAGAATACACATGCCTTATGCTGTTACCGTGTCCTACAAAAAATTGTAATAATTGTAGGGGCAGAATAAACTGGTGTCGCTATTAACTGATCACATAGTAAAATTTTGCGTATAATCATACTCGATAGTAGGAATGACGGCTTGAACAAACTTCAAAAAGATAATAAGGTACATATGCACACCAAGTTCACCTCCTCCCTCCATAACTGTTTGGATTATTTTCTTCATAACTTCAGCATGTCTGCAAAGAGAAGACTTTCAGTAACAACAATCTGTTAAAAAATTTGAACCTGCCATAAGTTAAAATTTTATTATTACCTGCACGGGTGAACTGAGGCCATTGAAGGACCTGGCAAATGGGGATGACTTTCCATAGTCACAGTTTTTTTGGCATGATCCTGGCTCACATCTTCATACATCTGTTCTACATTGAGAGCTTTATGATTCTAGAGGGATGTAAATTTTGAATTGAGATGCATTGTCTAACAAATTCAAATTTTAGGGCTTCATTTTTGAAAACTTTTGTTTACCTCATCATATCCAAAGAGCCAAAGCCTTGGTGTTTGATAGTACTTATCATAGGTGATGTGCAGGTCATAAGTTCTGGTTCTAATTATATCATCATCGGTATTTGAAGACGCTACAGCCGAGGCCTCATCTTTACAACTTTGTGTTGTATCTAACGTTGCCTAGGAGTCAAAGATATTGGAATATTAAGGGATACTGGATAGTTAGGGTAATTGATACATCTTATATCTCAGCCAACTTACCTTGTCATTTTCATCTAGCAACCCACTTTCTTCAAATTCTTCCATATCAGCTGCTTCCCCATCATCATCGTCATCATCTTCCTCACTTTTGCTTGTGATTCCAGCACTGTTTGAGCTTAATGCCTTAGATCCACTTTCCTCGGACTAAAGTCAAGGGTAAAGCAATCACAGCTTTGTAAATTAAGGAGTAGGTGGGAAAATTTAACTATTTTTTGATGTGCTAAGAGCTGTAAATATTTAGTTTAACTAACCTTGCCATCTAATGTCATTTCTGATACTTTCTCGTCAAGACCAGCATAGTGATGAGTATCAACCCAACCTCCATCAGGATCATCAGCTTCAATAATTTTCTCATGATCATCGCAATATTCCATCTATGAGAGAGAGAGAGAATCAGAGCTTAATTATTCCATCTATCACATGAAATAAGAGAAATAGAGCTCAGTATGAATCACATAACTAAATTGGACAACAAATTTAAGCGAGAGGGGAACTTATATAACTGAAATGAAGGAGAGATCAATTACCTGCTTGCATCTTCGTGAACAAGGTACGCTTCTAGTTATTAAAAATTGCTTATTTGGGGGTAAATAACTTTTAACTTTTGCCTCATCACCAGTGGCCCACTGCCATGTTGGACACTGATGAACAAGATGGTCACCAGCAGCAACAAACTCTTCAGGTGTCAAAACTCCGGTCTCCCTAAATTTTGATTCCTGTAGAATGAAGAAAACAATACCATTAAGGATTTGACTAGATCAAAGTAATTTACATGATGTAAAATAAATGCAAGAGGAATTAATTGAATCATAAAGTGGGAAGAACATAATGAAACAGTTGGAGTAGACAATGACTCATAACCAGGTTTGTAAAATTAAACGGAAGATGATGTTTTTAATGAAGGAAAGAAATATAAAGTTATTTGATGGAGGAGAACAGATAAAGGAAGGATAATTTATGAATGACATTAAAAAGTACAGGTTAAGTCTTTACCTTGAGAACTGGAGACAAGTACTCTGCAACTCCCAGAGCAGTACCCTTCACACTATTGATTACACTTTGCATGTTAGTAATTTAAGAAGTAATAACTAGTTGAAAGGTTTTATAAACAAATAAGTAACTGATGTTTCTTAAAGTAATTCATCAATGTAGTGACGGATAAGAACAGACGATAGCACACGACAACAACAGAACAGAACAGCTGGCTCGATTCTCGAAAACGAACGAGATGGGCGGAGTGCTCTGAGTTTCTCATACAACCCTTTTCAGTTTCAGCCGAAAATCTCAGCCACAAAATGTCCCTGTTGATACTCCAGCAGGTCGATCACATTCACGTCGAGCGCTGGCGCCCGAACCCCGTCTAGACGGTCTAGACGGCGTTCCGTTCCACAGTTTCCACTGTTGCCAGACTTCCGACTAATTTTCAATTACATGGGAATCATCGCTATTCTGATGTTGATCATGTTGCTAGCTTCCAGTTACACCCAATTAACATTGCGCGTCTTCTAGAACACCTGACATAAGTTAATACTCTGATAGTTGTAGCGCAAGTGGACCGGCAAGAACTGCGGCAACAGTGGAAACTGCGGAATGGAACGCCGTCTAGACCGTCTAGACGAGGCGCCGAAACCCTGTCTAAAACGGAATGTGATCGACCTGCAATGAGCGTTTGACTAAAGGTCTTTCTTTTCCTTTTCAAAGTGGACCATTTTATACTTTCGTACGTAGAAAGGTTCACAGAATCTGCTATTTATGGAATCTATACCTTTTTTCCGAGGAAACTTGAGATACAGAATACATTTTCCAATCACCAATTGTGTTTGAACGTTGGCAGTGGACTTTGAATTCAGCCGGCGCCAATTGTTGCACCTAAACCCAACGCGCCCGTTAAACGTGTAAAAGCGGAAAGCCCTTCGAAGTCTGGAAAACCTTAACAAGAAATTTTATTTTATTAACTCAAGGATCTGTTATTGACTAGGTACGTGGTTATAGTACGTATATTAGGGAATCTCGCGGCTCTCTCCTTGTTTTAGTCTCCTGCGTTTTACAGTGTCTTCGCGCTACGTTTACTCTGTACGTGGACCCTAACCTATTACATCTTTGCATTTCTGTCTGAGTAATTTGCAACGGGGCACTCTACAAGCTTCAACTGGAGAAAATTCGTTCGGCATTAGAAGTTTATTTTGTTACCACTTATGTTGTATTTTTCAACCTATTAGTTGGCGTGTGTTCTGTCCGTTCTCCCAAGCATTTTGGCAGGGTTGCCCGCGAATACTCTGTCCTTTTCGTATTCAGTTTAAATGTTTAATGTTCTGTCACATAATGATTTTTTATTGTACTGCTAGCTATAGGTGCATCTTTGGATAATTTTGTACGAAATTCAGTTGCATTTGTCGGTACCAAAATTGTTTTTGTTGCTTGGTATTCTCATTTGCTTCTTGTGTACTTACCCTCTTTAATGTCACACCTCTGCATGATGCTGCTAGGATCATCTGCTGTAACTATGATTTCTTTTTTTTCTAGGTCAACACAATGCAGAACGGGACAAGCAGAAAACGTCAGAGCATCAGGAGAAGTTTACCTCCCTCAAAATCTGGACCTAAGCCTGCAAAAAAGGCCAAGAGTAAGATCACATTTGAATAATTGAATTTGCAATGTTGGCTTAAGTTTACCCAATGTTATCTCCCTTTGTTGTGCAGCTTCTCTTGGAGTGCCAGAGAAACGGTTCCCAAAATTAACATCAGGTGTTATCCTCACCTTTGGGCAGGGTGATGTGGGCCAACTTGGATTGGGGCCTGATGTAATGGAGAAAGGGCGGCCCACCTTGATACCTAAACTAGACAATCTTATTGACATGTGTGCTGGAGGCATGCATACTATCTGCCTAAACAAGAAGGGAGAGGTAAGGCTAGTCACATTTTTCCAAATTACCTTTGGTTTGCATTGCATTATTCATATTTATCTCTTGATCAGGTTTCCAGTTTTGGTTGCAACGATGAGGGAGCTTTGGGTAGAGACACCAGTGAGGAGGGCTCAGAGACGGAGCCTGGCTCTGTTTCTCTTCCTGGTTCAGTAGTCCAGATAACAGCAGGAGACTCTCACTCCGCCGCTCTTCTCGAGGACGGTAGAGTCTTCGCCTGGGGCTCGTTCCGAGTAAGTGGTATTTTATGTATCCTTTTCCTTTTTCTGTTAATCACTTGTATTCACATGTATATTGTCCATTCTATAGGACTCCCATGGCACCATGGGCCTGACTCTGCAAGGTGGGGAGAAGAAACCAGTAGAACTTCAAACTGGTACAGTTGTAGTCAAAATAGCATCAGGTGCAGATCACCTTGTTATGCTGACTGAAGATGGACAAATTCATACAGTGGGTTGTGGGGAACAAGGCCAGCTTGGCAGAGTCTCAGAACGAGGGGCTGACCGGTTGAGCCGGCAGGGCATGGGTGAGTTAAGTTTGTTAAATCGTGTGTTCTTTTTTTTACTTAAATTTCTTCTAATTTATTTCTTAAATTGTGCAGGTAACTTGCTGGTACCTGGACCAGTACCTTTTAAACCGAGTAAAAAGCCCGAATTTGTGGATGTGTGGACTGCCACTTATGGTACTTTTGCCAAAGATAAGAACAATCAGATTTATGTCTTTGGTTTGAACAATTACAATCAGTTAGGTAAGAGTTATTGTCTCATCTGTTAATGTTTACAGTTATGACTTGTGTATTTACCTTTCAATTTTTCTGTAGGACTTAAGGAACAGAAAGCACATTTTCATCCGTCAGTTTCTGCTTCGTTAAGCATGCATGACTGGGCTCAGATTTCTGGTGGTCAACATCATACACTTGCTCTTACTGTCAGTGGTAAGTTCCATTTGACCACTGTAATGCAGTATTTTAATTTTAAATCAGTTTTTTCTCTAAATGATGAATATGTTTTGCAGGCCAGGTCTATTCCCTCGGCAGAAGAGAATACGGTCGCTTAGGCTTGGGAGAAGGTGCTGATGATGTTGCTGAACCTACATTAATAACAACATTCAATGACAAAAAAGTAGTTGACATTAGCTGTGAGGGTAACGTGTCTTACGCGGTCACTGAGGATGGTAAGCTTGACTCCTGTCTTACATGCAGTGATAGGCATGTACAAACTTATTCATGTTTATATTTATTTTTTTCTATCTTCTAGGTGAAGTGTACAGTTGGGGAATGGGTTCAAATATGCAACTTGGAATGGGTGACGATGATACAGATTTATGGGTTCCGACTAAAATCAAAGGTAAAGCCCTAGAAAACAAATCTCTGAAAGCAGTGTCTGCTGGTGGTCAGCATACAGTTCTCTTAGCTTCAGACTTAAGCGCAAAGCCAAGTACATCTGTAAAACCAACTGTTACTAATGGCAAAGGAAAGGAAAAATCAGATAACAAAGGGAAGGAAAAATCAGACAGCAAAGGAAATGAAAAATCAGACAACAAAGGAACTGAAAAATCAGACAACAAAGGAAATGAGAACTCAAGTGCTGATACGGAGAAGGAAACATCAGAAATTGTAAAAGAAAAGGAGCAATCCGAATCAGAAGAAACTATGGAAACAGAGGAGAGTTCTAAAGAAGAGACAAAAACAGAGGAAGAAAATATGGATACCACAGAGAAGTGAAAACCTGCTCTTATGTTATCTGAGCATTGCCTTATTGATTCTACAGCTACTGTCCATTCTAATTAAGCACTGGGCGACTTCTGATGTAAATACCTTCTTTAATGGAGGATCTCTTTTAATCAATTGAAATGATACTTTAACTTATTTTAGTTATAAAAACATTTTACTGAAATTGATTTGGAACTATGATTGCCATTGTTCCCCCTCTCTATTTTTTTTCTAGGAAAAAGTTTTATGTTGAATTTTATTCTTGCTGATGAATATCAAATGAAGTGCAGTAGTATGATGTTCCAGTCAAGAAAGTTTAATCATGTGCCTTTCTCTTAGACATGAATTGTTAGTAGCATATTGGTTTTCTCTTACACTTGTCCTATTTATGGACTGTTATTTATGTGGAAGTAGTCATCCAATAGTTCTATTCTATTATTCAAGTGAAAGCTGATGTCTGTTGTCAGAAATGATTCTCTTTCTAGAGTGAATCAATTTCTATGTAAATTCTGTACATATAGTGTGCTAATGAGTGTGAGTGTGCTAATGTGTGTTGTGGATTTTACTCTGCCTTTATTTTTTTTCTGTACTAAAAAATAACTGGCAATAAACTTTGAACATTATGCTTGAACATTTAAAAATGGTTAAATTGCTACTTTCTCTATGTATTTTTTATTTGCTAGGTACAGCTTGTGGGCGTACCTACTATACTTTTGGTGTGCTTGGCTGGGAACAAAACTGGAAATGCATTAGGTGACATCTGATCTCACATGTGACTTGTCTGCTTGTGGCAAGAATATTTGTGCCTATTGGTTTTTGGAGAAAAGTTGTGAACTAGGTATAAGCTTTGAAGTAGTTCAAATTAAAATGTTGTCCAAAAGTGGTTTTTTAGAATGAACCTCCCTTTCCAGAACAAGCATTGGCAAGTTTGCATTTGGGAGGTTGATGTTATTGCCACTCGGATGGTAGCGGAACACATTAAAACACTGAAACACACACCTAGACGTATTGGAACTAGGATGGCAACTACAACGCCGTCCTAACTCCGCTAATATTTCTTCTACCTCGCTGAATGCGCATGGCGGTGCACGGGGGACCTAGCTGGGCCGGCTGGGCGCTGTTGGGTGGCACGGGGTTTCGGGTAGTGCTTCACTCGAAATTTCGTTTAGGTAGGCGCGGGGTATCTACGCGGTGACGTGACACATTCCTCGAAACAGAGAAAGCGACACGGAGAGCGAGCCCCGAGCCACCGCGCCCCATCGCGGGTGGTGGCTGATGTGTGTGTGGGGGGGGGAGGGGGAGGTAGTCTCTCCCTCTGTCCGAGCTGCTCGCCGAACGGCACGTCACCTGTCGCGCCGCGATGCGACGGCCGCCTCTGCCGGGGCCTACCGCCT